GAGGACAAGGCCAAGGGTACGGGAGCTGGACGGGGATGAGGACGCAGGGATGACGTCAAGACGTTGAGACCGCGCGACAATCAAAGTCCAAAACAGAAACCGAGTCAGTGCTGCAATTTGCGTCTACCGGTCTACCAGGCTTGCATCTCGAACCGCTTTGGGCTGGCAATGTGGGCGAGGTCGTAGGCCCCGACGTAGCCACGCAGGCCCGACTCTGGACCCGATTCAGACTTGGGGAGCCACGCACTGGTTCAAATGGTGGCGCGGGGGGGGGGGCAGGCACACACAGAGGACGCAGGGTGGAGTTGCTGCTGCACACGGCTGTTGGACATGATGTACGTGTACTATCTCTCATAGTGTGCACGAGCGTGCTGGCCTCCTACCAATCCCACCCGTCCCTTCCCACAGCGTTGAATCAGTTTCTGTCCGCCGACTGGGGTGTCCTACGAGGGCCCTGATCCCAAAATGATAGTTGCAAAACTTGGACCATCGTTTGCTACGATCCATCGCTTGCTCGGCTGAAGATGCCTCCAAAACGCCCCAAGAGTGCCGCAAGAGGACCCCCAAGAGGTCCCCTAGAGACAAAAGCCCCTGAATTGCCTTCGGTTTTGACTGATGCTTGGGCACTTGCGCTTTCAAACCTCTGGGCCCCCAAGACAAGACGGCCCAAGAGGCCTCCAAGATCGCCCCAGGGCGGCCCAGCAGGCTCCCAACAGGGCACAAAACGCCAAGAGGGCCCGAAGACGGCCCAGTAAGCTCTCCAACGGGCCCCAAGACGGGGCAAAGAGGTGGAAAGCGAAGGGGACTTGGGAGCCTCCGGAGATGGCCCCCAAGATATCGAAAATGCGACCAGGAGGCCCCTAGATGCCCAAAAGACGTCCCAAGAGCGCCCCAAGAGGTCCCCAAAGAGGGTTCCAAGAGGCCCCCAGGAGGCATCCCAAGAGAGCCCGAGAAGCATCCAACACGCCTCTAACCCATGACCCGGGCACGGTGGCGGGATAGGCCGAAGGCCCATACAAACATGTATCCGCCGCCCCCTGTCGATTCATCGCAGGGGTGCCTGGCGTGCTGGATTTTTTCGGTTTTGGTTTTGGTTCTTTTTCCAAAAGAACTCTCCCAGTGGGTTTCGGCCCGTCCCGCCAGCCGCCCCCAAGACCCGCACGACGCACACGCCATCGCCCAACGGCCCCCCAAGAGGGCGCCAAGACGGCCCAAGAGGCCTCGAAGACGGCAAGATGACCTCTAAGACGGCCCTGGAGCACCCCAAGAGGGCCCCAAGTCGGCCCAGAAAGGCGCCCGAAACGGCTTCCGACGGCGTCAGACGGGCCAGGAGCCCACCAAGATGGCCGAAGGTGGCTCGCAGCTGGCCCAAGACGGCACAAGAGGCCTCAAAGAGGGCCTCCAGGAAGGCCAGAAAAGACTAAAAAGTATGATTTCCGACGGTTTTTGAAGGATTTCGACATTTGCTTCGTTTCGGCCTTCCGACGGCCCGATACGGCCCAAGAGCTCCCAAAGATCACCCAAGGATCGCCCAAGAGGCCTCCAAGATGGCCTCAGAACGGCCCAAGACGCGCCCAAGACGGCCCCAAGAAGCCCCCAAGACGAACCAAGAGGCCTCCAAGACGCTCAAGATGGCCTCCAAGACGGCCCACCCCTCCAAGACGTCCTCTAAGAAGGCCCGAAAGAGTCAACATGTCCTCCAAAACGGCCAAATATGACCTTCAAGATGCCCACGTGTTCCCCGAAGGCTTTCCAAACCGATTCGGGGAACACATGGTCCGATAGCTTGGCAGGTCTGGCCTCAACGTTCGGCCACATAGGCGCTTCCACAAAGGCAGGGGGCGGCGGTGATTCGCCGTAGGCGTCTTCGATCCGCCGCCCCATATTGATTTATCACAGGGGTGTCTGGCGTGTCAGATCCTAGACGGTTTTGGTTCTTTTAGAAAACTCACTGGGACTTCGGCCAGTCCCGCCGGCCACCCGAACTGTACATGTCAATGCCTTTCCTGCCCAAGATGGCCCCAAATGGACTCCAAGATGCCTCCAAGACGGGCAAGATGGTACAAGATGGCTTCCAAGTCCGCCTAAGATGGTACAAGATGGCTTCCAAGACGGTCCAAGAGGGTCAAGAAGCCTCCAAGACGGCCCAAGAGGCTTCCAAGAAGTCCTCCACGAGGGTTCGCAGAGGCCGAAATCATTGGTTCTCCAAAGGTGCTACCGAAGCCCTTAGCCTCCCCGATACGCCACACGCAGCACGTTACGTGCTGCCACGGAGCTCGACACGTGGAGTGAAAGCGCAGATAGAGCGCATTGTTTTTTCGCTGCCATCACGGGCGGTTTGGGGGGGGAGGGGGGGGGGACGGGAGGGGGCAGAACGTAGCGCCCACCCCCCCAGACTATGGTGCCAGACGCACTGCGGCAGTGCTGGGGACGCACTGAGGGAGGGAGCGTTACGATATTTGGGGGGGGGAGGGGGAGGGGGAGGGGAGGGGGCATAACGCGCTATATGGCCCAGAGGGTAAAAACAGACTCTGACATGGCGCGGTATGTTCGCCAAAACGTGGGCCAACACGCCGGGCCAGCTCGCAACGTGTTGACAGGGACGTTTTCAGCAGGGTCGGTGCTGCGGTTCAAGACGGGCGTATCGAGGCAGCTAAGATACCGCTGCGGCAGATTCGCGTGATGTCGACCCCAGCGTTGGATCCCGACACCGTTTGCTCCCATCGACGCTGTTTTGAGCATCCTGTGAGCGACGATCAAAAACGGCCCTACGCAAGATGACGTAGCGACCTTACGCGGCGGCTTATGTGGGCCGCAAGCGTGGCACGCCACAATGGAGACGAGGGCGCTTGCGCGCGACCTTACGCGGACAGCTTACGCGCCAATGTCGGCGCAGACGACTCCGTTTTCTGCCTCGATCGTGTGAAAGTCGGTCTGAGTTCAGTTTCTGGCACAATAGTTGCCAACACAATTCAGCACAGGCGGGAGAGACAAGCTTGCAGCAGCGTTACCCCACCTCCGCAGCCGAGTGCCTCAGAGGACCCACAGAGGGCCGTGCTAGCATCACGCATGTTGCACTGCACACGCGGTAAATCCAGGACAAGAGCCATGCGAATCGTTCAACCTTGAACGACCGGCCGTTTCCGAAACGTCTGAACGTTCAGCATCGACCGATTCTGGGTTGCTGGCGGCGTTCCACGGTGAACGCCGGCGGCGGGGTCGCCGCTGGTCGACACGACGCGAATCTACCTGGGCGATCTCGGAAACCCTGAACCCGAAAACTGGCCATCGCTCGGACGTCCATTCCCTGTGTCTGTTTTTTCGGTCTCATGCGTGGCTGTTCCGCCGAATGATCAAGGATGCTCCTCGATGGTCCTCGCCGAAGGAACAAAGCACACGTTCGAGCGATGCCAAGAAAACGTTTTCATCTCTTGGGGGCGCATGCTCCACTCCCGCCGCCTTCCGCCGCCCTTCCGCCGGCAGAGGCGGCCTCGTTCTGCTTCCGCGGACCTGCCGCCGCCGCCCGCCGAGGAAGAGGTGGCAGCCCCTTCGACGCTCGAGCTCTCGAAGGCAAGGCTCTTTCTGGAACGCCCCACCTGGCGCCCAGGACCTCGCTCTCCATGGTGGGGCAGGACCAGACGTTCGAAGAGCATCCAACCGTGGCGACGAGGGCTCTCCAGGATGGGCAGCGGCATCGGTACCTGCTCCCCCGTTGAGAAATACCTCCTCCTCCTCCTCCTCCTTGTCCTCCTTGTCTTCCTTCTCCTCCTCCTCCTCCTCCTCCTCCTCATCCTCCTCCTCCTCCTTGTCCTCCTTGACCTCCTCTTCCTGCTCTTCCTCCTCCTTCTCCTCCTCCTCGTCCACGTCGTCGTCGTCTTCTTCAGGGTCGGAGGCACCGGCCGCAAGGCCTTCTCATTAGGAGGCCTCGGGCCGAGGGAGGCGCGGGGCTGCTGTCGCTCAGCAGGTGTCGATGCAGTAGGCCACGAGGCAGCATGGGGGGCGCTGCTCCGCAAGCTCCCAGACGATGCCCAGGTCCTTGTCCGTCTTCAGCGCCGAGAGCCTCCGCAGCGGCGCGGGACACCACCGCGCGCCGCAGCAGTAGTCCACCACGTTCCCGAGATGCGAGCGCGAGAACGGCGAGCCGTCCTCCTGCGCGAGGCGCTTCAGGTACGTGATGCGGTGCCACGAGATGTGCTCCCACGTCGTAAAGTTAGCGAGCATGAGGAACACGTGGTAGTTCAGCAGGGTGAGGACCATAATGAAGAACAGGGCGATGCACAGGAGCCCTACCACAAGCAGGGCGCTGGGCTCGAAGACCGAAACGCCGTGGAGGCCCTCGACAAAATACACGAGCAACTCGAGAGTCTGGATCGCGAGGTAGCAGAGGAATATTGTGCGGTTGTTCTCCCCGATGCAGCGGCCAATCCAGGGGCAGTGGTGGTCGTGGGTGCGAACGCACCAGCCGCAGTCGCGGCAGTGCTTCTAGAAGAAGAAAAAGCGCCATCAACGTGGACTTTGGGCGCTCTGCGCGGATTTCTTAGATCTGCGCTGGACCCCTCTCCCCGGCGAGCGGAGCGCGCCAGGGGCGGCGCCGGAGGCGCCGCCAGGAAGGGGGGGGCCCAGCGCGGATCCAAGAGATCCGCGCGGAGCGCCGAGCGTTTTGTTTTCTGCCGTGTTTTTCTCCTTCGAGCTTCGTGCGCAGCGGCTGGTGCATGCTGCAGCGGCCACACCAGTGCAGCTCGTGCCCGCCCTGCACCAGCGCCTCGGGAGGCTGGCCGTGGCCGAGGCCTGCGGCGGCGCTGTCGGCCCTGCCCCTGCGCTGCAGCGTCCCCGCCGCGTCGCTCAGCAGGTCGGCAGCAGGCCCCGCTCCCCCCTCCTCCTCGTCTGAGCTGGCAGGGCTTCGGGCTGCGCGCCGGCAGGCTCCCCAAGGTAGCCTCAAGTCGGGCCTCGAGGCCCCTCGCCCCGGGCCGGCCCGAGGGGGGCCAGGGGAGGCGGGGCATGGCAGCAGTGAGGGCGTGGGGGGCGGAACGGCTGGATCAGGAGCCCACGGTCTGCAAGCAGGCGGCAGCCCGATCGCAGATCGACCCTGGACCATGGCCATCACCGCCACCCTAATCAGACAAGGGATCCTCCAGGATCTGACGCCTCCCGGGCCAAAACTTTCCTGAACCAGCGCGCCCCCCGGCACCTCCAGGGGCTGCGCGCGCGCAGCCTCAAGCCTTGCCAGTCTGGGTGCCCGACCATCTGCGCCAGCTCGGCCCCGGGCTCGGCCTCCGCCACGCGGGGCGTGCGCTTGTCCTGGGCGCGGTCCCTCTGCGGCCAGGCCGCGGGCAGGCAGCACGCCAGCGGCAGCCGGGCGTAGGGCGCGCGGGGACGGCGGCCGCCGGCCTGGGCCTCGCCGGGAGCCCGCAGCCAGCCCGGATCGGACAGCGCGGCGGCCAGGTAGGTTGCCACTGACAGCGCCGAGAGGAGCCAGAGACACCGCGGCCACGTGCCCCTGGCGAGCCAGAGCTCGGGCCTGTGCCACATGACGTCCCCGACGAGGCCCCCGTGGACCAGGACGACGAGCACGGGCGAGAGCACCCGCTCGGCGCAGCAGGCATCCCGCAGGGCCGCGAGGGTTCGCCAGCCAGCGTGGCACGCCTGCCGGGGGCGCGCCAACATCTCCGCGCACGCCAGCACCACACAGATCCGGAGCGCGCCACCATGGCCGGAGGAGGCTCCTGCAGCAGGCGGGGCTCGAGCCAAGACGGCTACGGCCAGGCCATCATTTTGGCGGCGCGCAGGGGGGGGTAGGGGGAGGGGGGAAGGCTTCTTAGAAACACCCCCGCTTCTTAGAAGGCCCTGGCCTTATATGTATAGAGAAGGCCTGCGCATTCTAAGAAGCGGGGGTGCTTCTAAGAAGCCTTCCCCCATCCCCCTACCCCTCTCTGCGCGTGGCTGAGCATGGCTGTGGCGAGCCCTGGGGAGTCGTTCCAGGAGGTGCCAGGCTGCCGGGCTCCTCTCTGATCTCACACACATCGCGCTCCCGAGGCCACACGACCCCTTGTGCAAGCTGCAGCAACATCGCGCCGGCGAGGCAACAAACAATCCCATGCACACAGAAAAACACGTCTCCGAGACTCGGCGGGGCTCTGAAGGGCACGTCGGGCGCCGCGGCCGTTCCGGAGCGCTCGGAGCGCCCTCTGAAAGGATCTGTCCCCCTGTCCTGGCCCCGCTCGATGCCTCCTGCAGGCCTCCCGCAGGCATCGCGGCTGGCTCCCTCTTTACTCGGGGAGGAGCAGGAGGAAGAGGAGGAGGAGGACGAGGAGGAGGAGGAGGAGGAGGAGGAGGGGGAGGAGGGGGAGGAGCATGAGGAGGAGGAGGAGGAGGAGGAGGACAAGAGGAGGGGGGGAGGGGGAGGAGGACGAGAAGGAGGAAGGAGGAGGAGGAGGAGGAGGAGGAAGGAGGAGGAGGAGGGAGGAGGGGGAGGAGGAGGGGAGGAGGAGGAGGAGGAGGAGGAGGAGGAGGAGGAGGAGGAGGAGGAGGAGGGGAGGAGGAGGAGGTGTGCGGGGGGGTCATCCAGCCACGCCCTGGCTCGGCTCAGGCTGCCGAGGTGCGGCAGCCACATGACCGCGCCAGAGGAGGACGGAGAGTGCGGCAGGGGACCAGCAAATCATCGGATCACCCTCCCACCCTTCAGGAGCGAAGAAGAGATAGAACCGGCCCTGGCGCTCCCCCGAGGCCGAACCCGATCCCCCAGCGATGATGACCTGCACGCGGCGCCCGACTTCGAGTGCCGCGCCGCGCGCTGGTCATTACCGCCGGCGGGTCGGGGTCGGCCTTGGGTGGACGCCAGGGGCGATTCCAACAGCCTGGTGAGTGTGGCTGCCTTTCCTTTGCCCATGAGCCCTCTCCCTCCCCGCCCCCGTCGCCCGTCCCGATCAGCCCCGAGTGCCCCTACAGCTGTGCCGAGGACGGAAGAGCATCCAGCAAGATCACGAGGCCCTCCGCCGGCCGAGACACGCGAAACATTCGAGGGTGGTACCCCTCCCCAGGATGCACAAGAGCATCCAACCACCACAAAGAACATGAGGGCACCCTCCCCGAACCGACCTCGACCTCACACCTCGGTCCGACTGTACACTGGCCCCCGCCGGGCCCGCACAGGCGGACGGAGCCGGCCCCGTCAGGAAGCAGGAGCTCTGGCCTCGAGGGCCGAGGCTTCGGTCGGGCATGTCCTCCTGCAGGCGGATCTTGGGCGACAGATGACAAGCAGTCCAAAAATACTCAGGAGGAGTCAAGAATAGTCAAAAAAATCGTCCCCTGACTAGCTCTTTACTGTTTTTGAAGGTTCCTCCTGGCGGAGGGACAGGCTCGACTTCAGCCGAGGCGCGTGTGCTGCCGCGGCGGCGCACGCCTCGGCGGGCCGACACCCCCACCCCTCCAGCGGGAAGGCGGAAGACGGCGAGTTCTGCTTCGCTGCGCGCGGCTGCACCCGGAGTGCGAAGCGACCTCGCCGCGCAGTCACAGCACACCCTGGACGGCCCCCCGACGTGGCGTCCCAGGCTGTGGAGGGGACAGCACGGCGCAAGACGACACGGAGGTGTGCGAATGGGGGGGTGAGGTTGCAGAGATCGGAGGAAGTCTGATGCAGCCTGGCGGGTCGCGGCTGATGCGTTTGCAGAAAAAAAAAAAAACACCATAAACAGGAACTGTTGGCACTCGGCGCGAATTTCTTGGATCCGCGCTGGACCCCCTCCGCGCGCCAGGGGCGGCGCCGGAGGCGCCGCCGGGGGGCCCAGCGCGAATCCAAGAAATCCGCGCGGAGCGCCGAAAGTGTATGTTTATAGCGTCTTTTTCGAGTTTGTGCTGCCTTGCATTATGTAGGCCTCGCGCTGTCCCTCTCCTCCCCTTCCCCTCCCTCAGGATGCAACTCCTGGGAAGCCTTCATAAGAAACATCAATGACTATCAGGCCCGATCAGGGGGCGGCCACTAAGACAGAGTAGCCCGGATCGAGCTCAGGATGAAGTCGTATAGGCCGGCTAAGACCGTAAGTATTGGGCGGGGCTAGCCAACATTGAGCGGGATGACACGGGATGATGCCGGAGTGAGCCAGCTTCCGACCACGGGCATATACATATATATATATATATACATATACATATATATGCACATATTATATATATGATTCAGCGCCGATGCTGACTTCAACCTCCCAGGAGCTGCATCCTAATCTCCCCTATCCTGCCCCTCCCCCTGCCCGCCCACGGGCCCTTGCCTCCCTCCTGGAGATGCGCCGCTCATTGAGCCCCGGCAGCTCGCGAGGAAAAAGCGGCGGCGCGGCCAGGCGCGCACTGGGCCAGAGAAACCGGCGTGGGGCCTGGCCGCGGGCTGCTGCGAGCGCCACCTCTCCGCACCGTGATATTCGAGCTTCCTCGTGGTCCTGGTGCCAGAGTCCTGCTCCTGCTCCTCATCTTCCACTTCTGCCGCGGCTCCTGCTCTTGCTCTCCCCATGCTAATTGTGATGTTGCTCTCTCTCTCTCTCACCCTCTCTCTCTCTCTCTCCCCTTCCTCCAGCTCATCATGTCTTCTCCTCCGCCTCCGCTACCCCCTTCCTCCCGCGTGTTTATGCCCTGGTAGCGTTAACGTATGCACGCCCAGAATGGGAACGGACGGTATGGGTATGATGCCAAACAACAATGCCTGCTCACGTGGAACAGGACATGCCTTCCTTTGGAGCACTTCAGGCAACAATTCCAGATGTGTTGGCAAGTCTTCGTGCCCAATTGAACCACACATTGCGTCAAAAGATAAAGAAGTTGTGCCGACATCATAAGATTTGCTGAAGGATGGGCCCAAGTGCACTGCAACATTTTTTCTGCGTCAACATGTACCGATGGGCGCATCGATTATAACTGGCACTTGCGTGCCCAGGCCCATACCAAAGAACTGCAGCACATAAGCATCGCAGATAATCCACAAAAAGAGGAACCTGACATTGGATCCGATGAAACGGAAGAGGAGATAGGAGATGGAGAAACCGAGGCAAGGAGAGAAATATAATAACGAGGATCACCAGGGGGCTGCTGGAAAAGAGGTGCGACGGCGGGATTGCAGTGAAATGCGGGTGGGGCTGCCACGCCTAGCGATGTGTGTGGCGCAGGAGGGTGTTCCAAACCTTGCGATTGCAATTGAACGAGAAACTCCGAAGCCACCTTTGGATGATGTCTCGAGCGAAACTGACGTTTTGAAGGATACGAAGCATAGAGAAAACATTGAATACGTTGGAACTCAATGATGTGGGGTGTCTCACACGAAACAAGTCCGATTCTAAGAGCGACGTCCAAAATCAATGAACCTCACTGTGTGATTGAAGATTTCATCAAGCAAGAATTGAAAATCCCTCATGTTTTTAGGTCGTGTCGTCGCCATCTCCGTGGGGGGGTACGTCCAAGATTCGAAAATCTGCGACGGAACGGACAGAAACGAGGAGGGGGCGGCTTCAACGTAATCGCCACTGAGCTTGATTCCCTCGGAGAGTTGCGTGTGAAAACAACCATGTACCATACCCCCTGGCACGTTGCGTATGCTTCAATGATATGATCCTGTGCTGTCTGGCTGTGTGTAACATCATCATGCCTCTGGGCGGAGGTGGTATGTATGACGACCCTTCTCCCCCCTCCTGCAAAACTCGATACTACCCTTTTCGGGACGAGGGGTCTACCACTGCTCCTTCTGCATCCGCCCCCTCCCACCCTACCAGCCCTTAATCAGGGCCGATGCCAACACGTACGCACAATATGCATAAAACGCTATGCAACATGCACTTGGCGGCAAGCTCTGAATCATGTTCGGGCGCCCCGCGACTACTTTACATGGTTTGCGGACAAGGACGAGGAGATTTGCAGATTACCCCACACGCGCAGACCCATCACCCCTGTCAACAGCAAGTGCAAAATGCACGCTGCTGCAAAATCGTGGGCCCGTGTGCGGGCGCCTGGCGATCACTCCGCAGTG